ACCCTCTCATCCGACATATCTTTGAAGGAAAATCCATATGATATATGGTGTTGCATCCAGGAGGCCAGTATCACTTCTTCACCATACAACCCATAGCTTCCGAGGAGCGTGGTTTGGAGGCCATACTATGTTTTCTATATGAAGATTGCAAATTGCCCGAGAAAAGTTTTGCCCTCAAGTTCATGATGCGCATCTCGGAGAGCACAAACCTAATCGGAACTACAGTTAAGTGCTTGCAATTGGTGACGCCTCACTTCAAGTCCACGGCTGAAATTGTCATTAAAGAGATCGCACAGCTCCCTACGCAAGATTTCTCATGTTTACCGCCTGAGGTTATGAGTGTCAACGCGGAACATTACTGGAATGAGATGAACGCAACTTTTGCTGTATGCTCCCGCCCAGATCCTTTATGTTGCCAAGGATACGAGCACAAGATCGTGTCTTCCTGTCGTGGCGACGAAAGCAACAGCGGAAACAAATTGAGGCTTTCGAGCATATTTCCAGAACCAGTATGTAAAGTGTTTTTACAGCGTCACGTCTCACCATCCGAGTACCCTAACCTGCATGGGTCAGTCACTAGATATGACTTGGCTTCTTTGGAGAATTGCCGACCTTTGAAGCTTGGAATTCTGCTCATGCCTCATGACTCTCTGCAGGAACCCAAGTCCACAAGCAAGGGCTCTGTGATAGAGGCAATCGATGGAAAGAAGCAACACTTGACGCATGTAAATGTTCACCCGGATCAGCTCGACGAGATGTTTCTGCCCAAGGCGATAGACTATCTATATCATAACGTTGAGTCTACAACGTACGAGATAAGTTGGAGATCTAACCATGGTAGTGCATACCTATGTGTGGACATGACGAGCGCGACAAGATTGCCAGGAGCACCCGCGGCGATACAAGGTAGGAACAAGAGCAACAAGGTGGTTCCTGAGATGCAGCAAGAGCTAATGGAAAATGTGGAGTGGAAGGAGGTAGCAAGAAGATGCTTAAAACTTTGGTTGTTTCGTTCCTCTGAGAGAATGCAGAGCATGTTTACGGCGTGGCTGAAACGATGAGCGTCTAACTAGCGGTTTGTTGCTTAATATCAGATTGTGAATCTGTTAGTCTTCTTACAGAATTGTTTTGAAATAATGTGTGCCAAGGCGAGCAGGACGGTTTGTTCCGTTGTACTTGTACCTCTTGCATATCCTGGTAGCATTATATCGTGCTCCTACATGTATATATCTCTTGATTAGTCGTCTCGTGTGATAATTGCTATGTAGTGTAATAGTCAAGATGCAGTTAACATCTTGATTAGTCATTTTGTATATATGTAGAATTGAACCAGCTTGGAACCAGTCAAGCATAGATTGGCTATGGTCAAACCACGTGGAGTAGATGTCAAGAGAAAACAATTGACATAGTCAAAAGATTTGTTTTTTAGCTAGCATACATTTCTTTTTCGACAATGGACAGACTCTCGCGCGCGTAATACAGCTAGAAACCTCCGGCTGGGAACCATGGCGCGGCAGTTTAGAGCACACCAGCGTCTTACTTATGTGGCATTGCTAAGATACGGGTACAACTTGAAACATTTGGAGTGTCTTTCTTTCCAAGAATTAATTAAATAGCTGATAGTAAATTAAAACATCAAAGGATTAAAAAAAATAAGTACTCTCTCAGGCCGGAATTACTTGTCAAAATATTACATGTATCTAGACGCTTTTTAAGCATAGATACACATATGTTTGGACAAATTTGAGACAAGTACTATGGGTCAGAGGGAGTATCTTTTTTCGTACGATGTACTACCTTCTTTCGGGTTTAAAAGGCTTACGTGTGTCCCTAAATCGCTAATGAGATCAATTCAATATAATTTTTATATCACAAAAATTATATCATTAGAAAATAGAGCATTTGCAATTTCTAATGATTTTTTGTAATATAAAACTCATGTTACATTGGTTAAATTATCAACACAGGAATACGTGGGTGCCTTATACTTCCTTCATTCCACAAAACAACTCATATAAATTTGTGCACTTGGACCAAAGCAGCTCTCGTTTCTACTGCCCGAACACTCACATTGGCCGGGTATGGGAGCCAAGAGAAAAGCGAATTGTTTTGTGGAACAAACTCAATAAATATATATGAGTTGTTTTGTGGAACGGAGGGAGTAGTATATACCGGAGAAGAGGCAGTACCAAACATCAACCATAAATTAATAGTAGCCGGTAAAAACAAAAGAGATACATGCTCATCATTTCAGTGGTGAATATAAGGTCAACAACCCTTCTTTGACATTACTCTCTCCGATTCATAAAAAGTGTTGCCCACTTAGTACAAAATTTGTACTAATTTAGTACGAAATGGACGACACTTTTTATGGATCGGAGGGACTAGGAGCAGGTGGAATTGAGCAGTCTCATTTTTCTCTAACATAACAAACCTGACCATTTAGATACCGTATTGTTACCGCCGGTGGATTTAGTCGATTGATTTGTGATAAGTGATGGAAAAAGTGGTTGTCAAGGGGGACATTGAAGTTATATTGGAAAACAAACTGAGTGCCCGATTCACAACCATCCGGTATGAATATATACTCTCCAATTCCCTCTGCGGCGTTGGCTCCAACTTAGCCCAGACATGAAGTTATGGTCAAAAGTAACTAGCTTTCTATTCTTTTACAACCTATCAAAACACCAAACAAATTAAACAATATACATGCAACAACATGACCACAGTGATGTCTCACTATTGGAAAACAAACTGAGTGCCCGATTCACAACCTTGTGTATCAATTTAGTTTATTTTTTCTGAATTTTTTATTTTATTTTATACCGGTGTGAATCCCATTGGTCAACGTTTGACGTGCATTGCACGCGCAAGCTTACTAGTCCGTCTAAACAAGGATCAATTTTTCACCAGGAGCATATCGGAGGAGACGGGAACAACATCGGCGGAGCCTTCATGAAGGACACAACACCTGTAGACGCCACCACTGTCGTCTTGGCAGAAGAGCCAGGCAAGTAATGCACCCCGACGCTCACCCACCTCGCCCAAACTGCCAAACCATACATCCGCCATAAGCACCGCACGTCTTGCCACCAGGACCGCCACCATGCAACTAGACAACCCCGTCACAGACCAAAGGCCCCAGCTTTGGCCCGACCGACCACCCCTGACCAACGGAGCCCCTACTTGCCCGCGTTCGAAGGGCAAGAAGGAGGAGTGGACGCATCCACGACCGGCACACCCCAGCGCCCGCGAAAGGTCGCCCGACCACGTCAGAGCCTCCCCTCCCTCCTACCGACCTCCCCAGTCCCCACCGAACACACCCCATCTCGCTCACCACGGTAGCCAACACACATCCCCGCGTGGCCACCCGCAGCCACTCGCCCACCGTCGCGGGACAATAAACAGACCCTTAGCAGTAGCCACGAGTGCTCTCCGGAGATGCCTCCTCAGGCCAACCGACATCATCCATGCACCAGACCAGGAAGGTCTTGACGAGGACTAGGCCTGCATGACTAGCCAGCCACCGCTACTACTTACGCGGCCACCCCCACCAGCTCGTCGCAGAGCCAGGGGCAGCCGCCCGCAGCCCAAGTCACTCACACCCTACACCGACGGATGGGGTGGATCTTGGCTAGGCACCACTACAGCCAACCTCGCCACCCAGCCACGTGTGCACCGCCCCGTAGTGCTACCACTGATCGTGGCACTCTGCCCCATGGCACGTCGAGCCATGCCGCGGCCGCCAACTGGCTCCAGCACGCTACCACGCAATAGTGCCCGACGTCAAGAGCTACCTCAAGGCTTTGGAAGCCATGGCCCTCTTGTGGCGGTGAAGGGGGGGGGGAGGTGGACGAAAGACCTCAATGGCAGTTACTAGGTTTTCACTCTGGTTGCACGACGGAAGGGAGTGACGTGAGTTTATTATGAGAAAGGGCATGATGCATGTATAAGTTGTCATGGACCGCACAATATGATAGATTGCGATCTTTCCAATTTGGTGCCGGACCAAACAGGTAGAAAAGCACAACATATAACTCAAGAACATTTAGGTATATAAAAATGGCGGTAGTATATTAGGTTTTTTTGAACGTTAGGTTTTTGTTCATTTCAGTGGATGGATAGATAAGTTGGAGTCACACTTAGTTAATAGTATAACATAACTTTTTATAAAATATTTTGGAAAAATAGTATATATTTTTATGATTTATATGAAAATTTTCATGATCGTAATATAACATTGTTCAAGTTTTCCAAACATGATATTCATTCCCTGCGTGAACTGACATGGGTCCTTATATTTAACTTGATTTATTTCATGCTTTCTAGCGATGTTCAGCTAGATGGAGAGGACGTTTCCGCGGACTACGAGGTGTTTCTGGTGACTTTGTCAATTTCAAGAATTATCGTCTCAATCTCTTTGGTGCTCATAGGTAGGGGTGCATGCGTACCTTCATTGGTTGAAAATTGTCATCCAAAAAACTTTCTGATGTAAAAATTCAGTTGCACTTGTTGAAAATTGGCTAGTAAGAGATGCCAGAGTTCAAAAAATTGTCCGTCCGTAAGAAACGTATAAATACGATTAACCTGCATTTGTCGTTGTAGGCTAGTAGGAGATGTGACGCGAGCACCCTTTGCGCACACCTTGAGTTACTTATAGGTCGGGTTCAGGGACAAGTTTAAGCAATCCAGCGGCCAAGTGTTACCAAATACGACCAGATCTTGCCACTGATGACTTTAATCTTTAGCAAAAGCCAAAGCAAAAGGCAAAAGGCAAAAGGCAAATAAAATGGCATCAATCATGAGCAAGAGAGGGAGTATTTAGTTACCACCAGCACGCAAGGCACAGCAGCATCGAAAGACACAATGCCCTCCACGTTCTCTCGAGAGCGCAGCCTTCATTAAAGAAGGACCTGCTTGTTCCAGTCCTATCTTTGTTCCTAGACAAACTAACAATACTCACCACCCGGAGAGGACGAGGAAGCAAAACCAGTGCATGCATGAGTCTCTCAGGTGCTGTGGGATGGTGGGACGAGTGGCAGCTGCGCATCCTTGTCCTCGCCAGCCTCTTCATGCAGTACCTCCTCTACCTCTGTGTATGGCTGCGTAGATCTCCTTCCATGTCTAGGATGAGAGTGCTGGTGTGGATCGTTTACATAGGCAGCGATGCCGTGGCGATCTACGCCCTCGCAACCCTCTTCAACCGCCAGAAGCGGACATTGGATGGGGGGAGCACCGCCCTGGAGGTTCTATGGGCGCCTGTCCTCCTCATCCACCTGGGCGGCCAGCCATTCATAAGTGCCTACAGCCTCGAAGACAATGAGCTATGGAAACGGCATACCATAACCCTGGTGTCTCAGGTCACGGTTGCCTTGTACGTCTTCTGCAAGTGGTGGTCTGGCGAGAAGAGGTTGCTGGCAGCAGGGGTCTTGCTCATTCTATTTGGCATCCTCAAATTCGCCCAGAAGCCATGGGCCCTCAGGACCGCCAGCTTTAACAGCATGCCGGCTTCGCTTGAAGTGGAACATAAAGGGCGTACATATTCGCTTGAAGAATATGTACAAGATGCAAAGAAATGTCTACTGGACACGGAGAAGTCCGGGGGAAGGTATGGGCTTAGATCACTAAGCAATTATATGTTTGTTGATCGGTCTGTTCCATACTCTCTTCGGATTAAAGTCCTGTCAGGATTTATGCACAGTAAATATGAGGATGAATACAAAGAGTTGCGGTCTAGGCTTGGAGATACATTCAGTATGCTGTACACCAGAGTACAATCCTTTGGCACTATATATGGGTCCGGCTTCATGTTTTTTCTTCCATTCCTGGCCTTATCTTCTATAGTGCTTTTGGCCACGAGCCGCAAGGATGGCCACGAGGAGAAGGACATCACGGTGACATACATCCTATTCTGTTTCACCGCCATGCTGGAGTTCCTGCTTCCTTGCATGGTTTTGTCCTACATGATTTTGGCCCAGTGCATTTCATCTTTCAGTGGGGGGTTCCTTATGAAGCATTTTGAAGGGTGGCACGACATGGTATCTCAGTGCAACATCATGTCCTTCTGTGTTCGCAAGAAGAATCCCACATTCTTGATGAAGCTTGCTGCCTTCAACTTTCTAAGGGAGTTTGTTAACCAACATTGGTATATTAAAAAAGAAGCTAGAGCCTACCAAATCACGGGGGTGGTTCGCCAGCACGTGGAAGATGGTTGGAATAATTACATATGTGGCGCCGAAAGTTACAGGAAATTCAATGAGCTTCGAGGCCAGTGGGCTCTAAGAAGACACAAGCAAATAGGGTGGAGCTTGAAGATGAATTTCGACAAAAGCGTCCTCCTCTGGCACATTGCCACGGACCTCTGCTTTTACCACCCCAACACATCCCATCAATGTCGTCAACAAGCAGAAGCCACATTGCGCAGCAGGGAGATATCCAACTATATGATCTACCTGCTTCTCATCCGTCCTGAGATGCTAATGCTCGGCAGCAGATCGGATCTCTTCACCATGGCCAGCAACCAAATTGGCAAGGACATGACAGAAGAAATTCTTGCAGGGGAGATTCTTAGCATGCCCCCATCTTCAGATAACATGATTTCCGACGCACGTAGGCTCGCCCGAGAACTTATGATGCTGGATAGTGAGGAAGATAGGTGGATAGTGATCCAAGGTGTGTGGGTGGAGATGCTCTGCTATTCCGCCAGCAGGTGCAGGGGCTACCTCCACGCCAAGAGCCTGGGTGATGGCGGGGAGTGTCTCACCACTATCTGGCTCCTCTTGGCGGTGATGGGGATGGAGACCTTGGCGGACAGGAATCACAGGCCAAAGTTTCAGGACGAAGAAGAGAAAGTAGAAGAAATAGAATTAGAAGAAGCACTTCCCGTCCACAAGAAGGATGAGAAGAAGAATCACATACTTCCTTCCTGTTCCCAAGGCAGAGCCGGTCACCCCGCTCACGACGACCGCCTAGTCTAAGAGACGGGCTTGTGGAAATCACCGATACCAAGTGTATTTCGCTTGCCCATATCATCATTCATGTTACTTCCTTTCCATCAACCATTTCATGATTTGCTTTATTTGATTAGGTATGCTTTAACTGTTTGTTGCTCCTCTTGCCACTCCCTGGCCAGCGCCACCCCTGGGGAAGCCATTCCTCGACAGATGGTGTTGGTGCTACCCGTGGAAGATTTGTGTTGGTTGCTTACTGTCGCGTGTTTGACTGTCTGTGTAGCCCTCTAGTGCTCCTGTTCTTGAGCTGAATAAAAGCCATGTTACAGCATGTTGTCAGTGTGTAAGATTGGATTTGGTGTGAGACAGTCATTTGAACATTTTATTACCCTGTTGATGTGCTGCTGCTACCCAGAGTTTCTGATCTTTAATTTTTTTCGAGTGGAAGATTCGTCTTGCTTATAGGTGATGTTCTTATTTACAACAACCAGCATTTTCTAAAAAAAAAATCAACATAAAAAAGATGTTTAATTTTGAATATTAACAACAAATAATTCTTTATAAACAACCCCACTTGAATGCACCACTACTCTTCCATCCAAAAAAAATCTTTTGCATTTAAATCCTCTGAAAATCCAAAGATTTTTTTAACTATTTATTAAACCTTGAATGGTATACTATTATTTTGTCTGTATACCCCGCTAAAAACACTTACATCATTTCTCTTCCACCTGATGATAGTGGTAAGCTGAAGGAGGAGCCATCAAAGGACATTGTTATGACTTTCTCAACTTTATACTACATGGTCTAGACACCAACAATCATGTTTTAAATTGCAGACATCGAGCGTGTGTGTGTGTTTTCTAAGTAAAGGGTGTTTCAAAATCTTCTTGCTTTTAAAAAACCATGCTTTTAAGTATGTTCACGTTTTTTAACAAATACACAAAATTCAAAAAAAATCGAGCTTAAACAAATATTTAAAATTTATCACAAAATTTTAAATTTTCATATTTAAAAAGACATGTGGTCAAAACATGTCCACCTTCAAAACATGTTTCAATTATAATAAAAAAGATTAAAAATTTCAAAATTGTTCATTTATTTTAAAATAAATAAATATTAGTGTTTTCCCAAAAAGTAAATAAATAAAACCGACTACTAGACTACTCCATGCACCACTACTCTTTCATCATATTACTTCGAAAACAATAACAATATAAACTTATTACTGATGTTATGAGAACTGCCTATAAGAATTGGCGTGTACTGTGACACGGAGTAGGTTTTACGATATTTTTCGCCCGTTGCAATGCACGGGCATTTGTACTAGTGAACAATAAAAGAACTAGTTATTCTACAAAAGAACTAGTATTGTGAGATTTACATATATCAGAATCAGGAGCCTTCATTCATTGAAATATATCAGAATTGCAAGCCCAATGATTTATACAGAGAGGCTAGCATTTGCTAGGATGTTGTTTTTTAAGAGCATAGGGTTACACAGTGATAAAGATCCAGCAACAGTCTGGTTCCTGCAAGCTACACAGATGTTCAGGCTTACTTGCAATCTGGTTTTTGCAAGCTACAAAGATGTCCAGAATTACTACTTATCTAGTAGTACAAATGTTGAAAACAGATTATGAAGCAGCCCAGACACACGTGATGAACATTGAAGCATTCCCTCTCCCATGCTGCTCAGGATCATCAACCAAACTCAATTTGCACCTACAAAACAACGGAAACGTTTCTTTCCGTCTAGAAAAGCAGAGGAGCCTAACCTACAGGTTGATCTTTCCTAAGCATCAAACAAATGTTGAGAACCAAATCAGCAAATAAACTTCCTAAAGAATACCCCCCTCTCGTCCTCCCGAGTCGCCCCCATGCAGCGGCTGGGAGGACCCCAGATCCTGTCGCCCCCGACTCCCCCTCTCGTCCTCCTCCTTCCTCGCCACCACCCGAAGGCGCGGCCAGGCAAAGCCTTGCCGTTGCCGGTGGCGGCGGGGACTAGGTGCCCTACCGCTCGTGAGGAGCTGGCGCGGGTCGGCGCCTCCGGGCCGGCATGGCGTGCGGCTGGACTTCACGACGGGGACTGGCGGCGCTCCGACGATCCCATTCCCCATGGCAGGCGGTTTCAAGATCTGTGGCGCCATGATCGTCAGGGATGGCGGCGGCGTGACCAGATTGGCGGCGGCGCGGCCGGATCTGGGCCCAGGCGTGAGCTTGGTCTCCGGGTCACGGTCGGCGCGATGGCGAGTGTGACACGTCGGCAGCTGGACGGATCTACGGGATTCCTTCTTTGTCTGGTCCGTGACAACCCGGGCAACTCCGGGGGAAACCCTAGATCTCCATGGGATCGAGCGATGGCGGTGCTTTTGCACCGTAGTCTCTCTTCAGGGCATCGTTTTGGAGTTTGCTACGGTCGAAGGAACCAGCAAGGCCGGCGGCGTACGCCCGGTGGCGCAACTGCTGACGAAAATCGCGCCGACTACGGTCATGGCGGACGATGGCGGCGTCTTTGATGTCGCTTCCTTGTCGAGGCATCGTTGTTGCAGTTGGTGTCATCTGGCTCGGGATGCACCGGAGGAACCCTCGATCTGGGTCTCCCGGATCGGACGATGATGGGCATTGTTTTTGAGCAAGTGATGGCTGGAGGTGACAAGAGGAGGAACGGTGCTTCATCACACACATTGATGATGTCGGATCTCGATGGCATGACGCTCTGGAGATTAGGCGTCTGATGTGCGATGATGGACTCGCGCAGGAGGTCGACACTGCCTGGCATCGTGGTGGCGTCAGCTAGATCGGGCAAGGTTCATGCAACAGTACAACTTTGAGGTGACAGGTGGCTGCGGCGGCCTCATTCCCGGTAGACATCCTGGTTGAGGAGCACGCCGAACTAGTGGGTGGCATACCCGGCAGGCGTCCTAGTTGGGACCTCAGGTCTGAGATGTTAGGTTTGGCTGCGAGGTCTATTTGGTACTAGGCCCAGACTATCAGCATCCCTTCATCAATTGGATAGGAGTAGCGACACTTTTGTTGCCTAGATAGTGGCTTCAGTCTTACTGTTGTATGACGTTCTAAGGTCTTGTGTGAATAATTAATAAAGTAGCTGCATGCATCGTCCAGATGCAGAGGCTGGGGGTCCACCTTCATTTTTTTAAAAAAATAAACTTCCTAAGCATTAATTTTGGTTGCGAATCAGGAACATTCAGCCATTCACCATTTTTCTGTATTAGCACAAGGATTCAGAAGAAGATGAACAGAGGATAGACTAGCTTATCTGCCGATGGGATTTGCTGGCTCATGATCGCCTCGTGGACGCTGTCGCCGCTGGGAGCTCCGTCGCCTGGTGGATGCCGTCCTCGCCGGCAGAAGAGGAAGTGGCCAGTAGGAAGCAGCCGAGACGAAGTGGCCGGGAGCTGCATCGCCTGGTGGAAGCCGCCGCCGTTGGGAGGGAGGGAGGGGCGAGGAAGGTCAGACGCCGGAGTCATAGCTCATAGGTCGAGGACGGCGCCTTGGTTGGTCGTTGGGCGGCCGCAACCACAGTTCCGGCTTGAGATGAGTACGGGAGTGGGGATATGGTTGGCTCGAGAGGTGGGGTTAGTAGGACGCTAACGCTATTTGGAGGCCCAATTTTAGCGCTAAGTTACCTCTAGCCCGCTAATAGCACGCTAATCCTTCGTACGTGAAAATGACCTTCACGTAGAACAACATAGGTTGGGACGCCCGTAGCGCCGCTATAGCGCGCTATTTAAATCTTTGCATGCATCATAACAGAGCATTGGATGATGCCAATTGCCAAGGTCGGAGATGATATAACTCTGAGTGTTTGATCAACCGGTGGGGGAACATGGGAGTACAACGGAACTGTTGCAGTCATATGGGTGTCGTCTCTTGCCCCAAAAAGAATACCAAGAGAAGTTCAACATTAGCACACCTTGGCTTGCCTACATACAAGATACAGTCAGTCCCCAGAGCGAGTTTTAGCATTTCCTCCTCCTTCGCCTCTCCATCGGTTGGGTGAATATTCGAGTCTAATTGGCCCCGAAAACGTTGTGCCTCATTATCAGGCACTGAGAAACTCCTTTCATCACGGACAGAGTTATTTTTTTTCGAAAAGAGGGAATTCGGCCTCTGCATCAGAAAGATGCATACGACATCACGGACAGAGTTATAATTTCAGTTTACTCACTGGCGAACAGTACTTCGAACAGGGTTGATGCATCAGCAGTTCGGCCCCATGGATATAACTAATGTCCATTATATGACACGTTTTAGTATCAAGTCACCGGTGAACAGTACTTCGAACAGGGTTGATATACTTCCATCCGTCTCAAAATTCTTGTCTTAAATTTGTCTAAATACGGATGTATCAAGTCACGTTTTAATATTAGATACATACGTATCTAGATAAATATAAGACAAGAAATTTGGAATGGAGAGAGTATATAGCTGCACTGCATATAGAAGAAATCAAATGGCACCCAGAAATATATTCAGATTTAGCCAGCTCTAGCATACAAATGAAACTCAGGTTCAGCCGTCGAGCAGGGTAGCACCAGGTGGCGCCTGCCTGGCGTATGTCTCCCAACCTGGCCATCCAATACACCGACCTCATCAACTCTGTTGTGTTACAAGTAAGGGAGGACCCAATTCTCTTTGCAGAACCCTGAATTTGGTTACATATTTAGTTGTAGAACCTGGTTATATGTGTTATGACCGATTTGGTCTATACCAGGAAGAGGCCCACCCAACATTAGTATTAGGAGCTTGGCCCACAAATTATCTTAGACTAAAGTAATAAATACTAGTTGTAAGACATCGTTTGAGATTAAGCAATAAAGATATCATAATCTTCTGTTGCCTGGCTCCCAAGGAGCCGGAACCCTAACCGCCGCCGCACCCAACCTTAGCCGCGACGGCGCCCGTTCGCCGGCGCGCCCGCTCCAGCCCTCGTCCCCCTCCTCCTTGTCCATATAACCTACGCCAAAGGCCTGGTAGGAACCCTAGTCCTATCAATTTGGTAT